ACAGGACAAGCAAGCCTCCAAGACCGAACCTGATGCATCCCCTGCGAATGCAGAAGGTGTACACTGGGTACACCAGCAAGAGAACTCAACGCCAGACAGCACAAACACAGAGCACATGGCAGATGGGGAGAATTACAGGAAATCAATGAACACCCAGCACTCACCAAAAGGGACACCATCATCATGAGTATCAAGCAGCTACATCCATGCTCTGTCCGTCTAGCAATGAAGGTCAGCAAACAGACGATAGCTCTGCAAAACTTCAGCATCACCATCAGAGACATCTGTTACCCTCTACATGTACGTAGTAGCTCAAACATCCACAGACCTCCAATTGCCTTCCTCCTCCAATTTCTTAGACCTCCTCCTCCAATGTCTTCTAAGGATGTGACGTTTCATTTTGTAAATGTTTAGCAAACATTTAAAGAACCATCTCAATGTTGAGCCCTTTCACAAAGACTGACGACTGCCCATTGTGCAGACCAACATGATCGACACAACAAATAATAAATGAGTAACATAATAAAAAGAGGGCTGTCATTGAAAACAATAAAAAGATGAGCACGTAGCCTGAAAGTAATCTAGTACTGCAGTTCTCCTTAGCTTTTAGCAAATTGAATAGGTTTGGATTATTTTTGTTATGCATGCTCAACTCAAAGGAAGATAGCGGAAAATAGGTTCCTGTTTTTAAAATTTGAGTTTTGTTAAAACTTTTGGAAAAATACGATTTAGAATTTTGTTTATTATTTTAAATGTTTAAATGTGTAAATGTCACATCCATAATTTCCTCACTCCACCAATACATAGTTCCCCTTTTGCCTGTGGATTTCAGTTTAATGTTTACACTCAGCCTGCAGAGGACAAAAATACTTTTTGATATCAGATTTTATATATTTATTGAATTTGTTAAAAGCACAAGTAAATTAATATGCACAGTTTAAGTAGCTAAATTAAATTTATGATATACATCTTTTTTCAAAGTGGATTTTTGTTAATTTTCACCTACTGCTTCTAATTGTTTCAGCTTCTTTTCAAAAAATTAAATGTACCCACTGACACCCTATAGTGAACATAGTTAAACAGTACAACTGCCAATGCATCAACCTTACGCTAGAATCATTCGTGGGTTTATCTCTATCCTAAATGCTGGAGATAGTTTATCATGAATTTCTTCCCGCATGTACACTCCCAGCAAGTTTTTATTAAAAAGGGGCCTATGGGTCATTCTTCAGTATCAAGTGTCTACTTTCATGTCCCGACACTTTAAGGCACTATAATTCGAAAAAATATAGAATGAAAATTAGATTTTTGAGCAGTGAAATTAACTTTAACACGACTCCTATTATGTGCAGTGTTAAAAACTCTTTAACATAATGGACAAGATGCTCATTCTTTACAATACTCCCTCAAAACCCCCTCAAAATGCATGTCCCCGTGTATTTCTCAATATGTACCTACTGCCATAATTTGTAAAGTAAACAACTTGAAAAGGTAATTATACTTCCAAAAGCCAAGTAATATAATAATTGTCATTTCCGTCACAAAAGGTGTGACGGATATGACTTTTGCATTCTTTTCACAATCAATATTTCTTTGGGTCCTATTGAAAATAAAGGAACCCAGCATTAATTAGTTCCTGTAGAAAACTACTTCACATCACCACTCCAATACAATAGAGACTAAAATAACAGAGAGAGAGATATGTTGCAAGGATGAATGAAGTCCCTGAAAGCCATCAGCCCTGTTTTTGGTACATAATAATTGTCAATTATCAGATTGATCTTCGATCAGGCCAATTAAATATGTTGAACACTTCAAGTTATTCAACATGGGAAAATGCACATGACGAACGTGAGAAACCACTAGCTTAACTGTCACTTCCTTAACATGCTCAAAATCCAAAATGTTTAAATAGGATTATGTGAAAATTTTAGATCTACGGTTTACGGAAAATTGTACGTTGATTCGATTGCAAACCCCGCGCTTTGTGAATGCACATCGCCATGATCGCAACCTTGGTAATACGATTCTTTCCCCGTTAAATACTCACGACCAGGCCATGAACTTCTTGCAGTTTTTCAGGGGTTAAGAAAATCGAGTTGACGGCGGACACACTGAACCAAGTACCTCACAAATTAGCAGAGAAACAACCATAAAAACATCCGGAGAAAGTGACCCAACATGGCGACGACACTTGCGAGACGGGCTTGAGTACAGGGTCTTTTCATTGTGACATGTGCATGCAGCACTGACATGACAACAAACCGCCACGTGTGAATTCTAACCATTCATTTTGCACCTGTCAGTGTCACAAAACAACACCACCTGTATGCGCCCTCACGTGGGCAATACGTCATACCTTGGGAATTTTCGTAAACATTGGTTTCGTTTGAAAGATTTAGCTTTGACTTCCAGCGATGTTATTTTGTCACTTTCGGGATATACTGGTATCGGTCTTTGTTTTGCTTTGAACATTTCTTGTTGTTGACAGCCCAAATGTTATGACATGCTTGTATCGGACATGTAATTAGTTGTGGAAATGATTACGACACTGAGCCGAAGCTAGTCCGAAATTTCAAAAACGCCACTCTCAAAGATTTGTTTAGAGGGCGCTGTTAAAGTTACCGGTAGAAACTTTTTAACATAGACTTGGTGGCAGGATTACCCCCAGAGAGATTGACCCCTGAATACCAAAAATGCTACCTCAAAATGAAAAGAGTTCGAACAAAGTTCCTTAAGAACGGTGTAAAGATTATGTATGTTTTTTTGTGTTTACTTATAATATATGTATAATATCCTGGGCAAATGGCAGAGCTGCAGCTCAGTTCATTATTTTTTACCAGATTGGGGTAAACGCAAGAAATGTGGCCTACTGAACCGAGATGGGCTAAGAGTCATTTGAGGGTACTCACCCTCAGATGCAATTCTACCGGGGGGGGGGGGGGGCAGGAGCGCCCAAACTTTTGACGAGACCCCCCCCCCCCATTAAAAAAAAAGAAATTCCTTACAAAAAAAAAACGGTAGCAAATGTTAGAATTAAGGTGATGTCACATTCGAACGGTCTCCCCCCCCCCCCCCTAAAAGAAATAGTTGTGAGCAGGGGCCATGAATTGTACCGTACACTATTAGGTAATGTGCACGATTGTAGGATTTTATCAACACTCCCCTGGGCACTCCCCATTGAATATATGTACAAGCAAAGGAAGATACTTATTATTAAATTTGGGTTTGATTATTTTGCTTGAGTATTTTCCATTAGCCATGATATCTACTTGGAAAACATTGGGATTCTGTAACCAAGAAATTAAGCGTAACACAATGAAATAAGCCAGAGGAAAAAAATGGTCAATCTTTCACACACAATAATTTGACTAATTAATTAAGTAAATTCGGTCAGATCTACATGTATTTAATATAAAATTTGCCAATGAAAATACAATTTTATTAAAAGTTCAAAAGAGTTAATTTCTAACATCATGTTGCCAGAAAACTAGAACATTTACAAAATAAAAAGTCTGATTCACTTTAAACACCGCATCCACTTTAATAATTTGCCATTGGAAATATAGTTTTTTGAAATATGAAAGAAGTGACGGTTAATTTTTAAAGCAAGTCACAAAAATCCAAAATTTACAGCACAGTTTAATAACTATATGGTGTACATGTATTATAAATGACAAACACAATTACATGTACATTAAAGTAGGTGAATCCTATCCACATCATCTACGTTCATACCAACATCCATGACAGAAAACCTTATCGCATTTGCATAAATAATCTCAACAAGGCAAATTTGCACTTCACTGTAACACACATTGTTTTGATGTTCAAATGTATTTCACTCTCGAAGGTTATACGAAATGACAAAAACACTTCTAAATTGTATATAAATTCTTTGGAAGATTTGGCAACTTAAAACAAAGGGAATACAAATTCATCTTGATGTTTTCTAATTACACATTGCACTCAGATGAATACATGCCTTTCATGATTGCATGTGCTGTCCAAATCTGGTCTCAGATTATCATGATCATGACTAATCCTACACATGCAAGAGTCATTTGACTATTCAAAATGTTCACATTTGATGTTTCCCATTTACCATCAGAAGCAATGAAATACACTTCTTGTATAATCCTAATGACTGCAACTTTCTTAAAAGGTACATATGATTATTTGCTTCTTGTGCCTTTACTTTCGTTTGAAGCAACAAAATTGCTAAAAGTCTGAAGCAGGGTGCATGACAACTAACCTGTTGAAGGCTGATTGGATAGTATACATTTAAGAAAACCGAGGAAATACATTCACTTTTTTGGGTGTCTTGTAACTGGATTCCATTGCTAATGCATAATGTTAAAATGTGCCGTGGACACCCTCTTTCAACACCACCTCAGTTTTCATCCACACGAAACAATTTCAGCTGGAATATTTTCAAAGGGTATTTGGTACCACTCCTATCTTGACTTTGAGCAGAGTTTTGTCATTAAATCAATGCTTCTCCAGGTCATTGCAAATGATGCACATGGCTTTGAGTTAACAGTGTTTCAATTTTATCTGTGAATGTACATTGGTCCAGTAAAATAATACTTTCAGGTACTGTTGTCCACAAAATTTTCACACAAAATTTGAGCCCTGCTAACGAACTCATTGCACACAGTAAGATGTGACAATAGCTTGTAGATTGACAACTAGTCTCTGTGGTTTCAGTAAAATATATAAAAAACATGTTTACATAATAAAATATGTATATTGCATTATTAATTTAGAGCACAAAATTGCATCATGACAAGAATTTAAGAGTACCGATTTCAACAATGAATTAATCATTATTTTTTTTAAATATAACACTGTCTCGTTATTTTGTTACAATTGTTATATTATAATAATGCAATATATTTCATAATGCACTAATCATCGGTTTCCCTTTTTGGTTTATTGGAACATTTGTTTGTTTATTTGAACAATCCTTTGTACTGATCCAGTGTAACCGGCACAAATTTGGACACCATGTATTGGTTCAGTTGAGCTTGCCATTTGGGGTCGAGATGCATGTTGAGAAGATGCCTGGTGATAGATGTCTTGAGATCCTATGAGGAAAAAAAAAGAATATTCAAAATGAGACGAGCAAAATGGTGGTTAATCTAAACGCAGACTCAAAACGGCAGGTTCTTGCAGGCCGTTTAAAGTCTGATACTGGCAAGCGCGTAGATTGTCAGATCGACCTATGATGCAGGGTTCAACAATATTTAAATATCTACAAGCGTACTAAATATCAGAATCATGAGGCCCTTGTATGTCCTCATGTACACGTGTCAGGTCAGATCTTCTGTTTAAACGGTGGTCTGACTGTCTGAGGTACTTTCCTCTTCCACACAACAAATATCTTTACGCAAAGTATGTACATGTGTATCACTAATTTTATTCAGTATTCATAAGATGGAATTTTGCGTCGGGGTGATGTAAATCAAATTAGGTTTTGCCCTTCACCGACGTATAAACGGTTGGTATAAACGGTCAGTGTGTTACCTCCCGAGTGAAAGTTGGAAAAAAATCACTCGGGTGGGACTCGAACCCAAGACCTCCTACTTTCTAGTGCAGATGTCTTACCACTCAACTTGAATCGAATCTGATGTACATAGCAGCAGGTATAGCATTAACTATTCATAAGATGGAATTTTAGTTGGGGTTATGTAAATCAATTTAGGTTTTGCCCCTCGCCAACGTTTTTTTCCCAATTTCACTTAGGAGGTAACACACTCATACAGTGTTTATACGTCAGTGTTTATACGTCGGTTATTTGATTAGAGTTTTATTCAGCATGCAGAGTCCTGTGGTCAAAAGGTTCCTGTGTTTGACTCATGCACGATGTTATGTTGAGTCAATCTTGACAGGGGACACGGTGCTGGTGTTCTTGGGCAAGATACATTACTACAATTGCCTACATGAGTGCTATATGAACACTGCACTATGATCATCAAATATCTTAACATCAGCACAAGGTGTTGGGCGACAATGCGTTCAAGAGTTCCACCTAAACCTTTTCTTAAGAGGGATTACTGGGCAGTGTTGTAGGACTCGAGTCTAGGACTCGGACTTGAGTTGGACTCTAGTCACATTGGAAAATGACTCGGACTTGACCATGACTCCTCGAACTCGATGACTCGCGACTCGAGTCACGTAATTTCATCAAAAGTAAAAACCTAACGTAGGGATGGGAAAGGATCATTGAGGAATACTGTTTGGATGATCAAACATGGAGGGAAGGGTTGGAGGAAGATTTTTTAGGGATGGGAATTAAAAAGAAAACACATTTTGGCTCTAAACAACATGTATCACACAACTATATACACGGGATTTACTTAAAAGGCAGAATGGAGGATTAAAAAATAATTTTAAAAAACGATTAGTTCGGTGAACAACTAAGAACAAGTGACTTGTGACTCGGACTCGGACTCGAGGCTTGTGACTCGAGACTTGGACTCGGACTCGGACTCGACGTTGGTAACTCGACTACAACACTGGTACTTGGTCACAGAGTCCACTGTACCTACCAGGTAATTCTGAGTTGACCACCCCAGGGTAGACAGGCAAAGGCCCCCAAGAGGTGACGACATGAAGCTTGTCCCTCAGCTCAGGATGGCCCTTCATCTGTAAGGCCAGGGTGTTGGAGTTGATGCCTGTACCGTCTGCTGTCTTATTAAGGATCATCTGGATGGACTTCAGATGGGAACCTGGGCAGGAAAAAAAAAATTTATGAGATGTAAATTAACCTTTTTTATATTTGATTTTTGTTTGCCCTTCGCTGACATATTTTGTAAACACTGTGCACTTAGTGTTGTCCGAAGGCTTAGGTGGGACTCAAACTAATGACCTCCTACACAAACAAAGTTGGGTTAAGCGCTGCTTCATCAGACTCCAAACGGCCAGCTTGCCACAGCAAGCTCAGTGGTCGAGTGGTTAATGTGTCTGCACTAGGAAGCAGAAGGTTGGGGGTTCGTGTCCAACCAGAAGTAAGCTTGTTGATTTTTTTCTTGCAAACCCTCGGAAAAAACTCAATGTTTACAGTGTTTGTAAAATACTTCAGGGAAGGGCAACAAAAAAAATACATATATGAAAAAGAAGATCAAATATTATATGGATGAAATCGAATACAGTTGATTCCTACTTTCTAATTCACAATTTCGAATTTCACAACTATGATCTATCCATATAGATTTGAGATGCAGACCAATGCAAATGAGTCTTCACAGATGTTTGTCTTACCTGACTGGATAATTTTACCGAAGAAACTGGCCTTGTTCTCTCCTATCTTTTCGAGTCCTCGATGGGTAATCCCAAATCCGCTCAGTGAATGGACGTAGTTGTAGGCCCAAACAGATCCAGGTAGGTCCTCAAACATTTGATATCTATCATTGAAATATCATCAATACAATTATGATTAGCATTGAAATATTTACATAGAATCAGGGGCGGGGGGGGGGGGGGGGAGGGATGTCAGGGGAAGAAAAGGGGTTGGGGATTATATTCCCCCCCCCCAAACAAAAATGGACAAACACACTTTCCCCTTCCCAATTGTCACATTTATGGAAGACAGTGTTCTAGTGAAGGTTTGCAGTTTGCAGTAACACCATGTAGGCATGCAGAGTCTCTTTTGGGAAGATGTGTGGATCTGAAAAGAACCACACATCTTCCCAAAAGAGACTTCTACATGGTGGCATCGCAAACCTTTACTAAACCATGCCACTACGTAGTTAAACCAAGTAGTTAGCTCTTGCAAATTGTCTTGCAAAGATGTTCCATCAACACAACTGAGAATATGACAACATCAACTTGATCGTCAGGCAAGGCAGAGACTGATTGCGAATGACAACCCCAGAAAGTGAAGAAGAAACTCTGATCAGATGACAACCAACATTTGCCCAGGAAAGAAAAAAAAGGCAACTGATGAACAGAAATCAAATTGTGATTTGTGAATAAAAACTTCCATTTGACATCATTCCTTATCAGATCAAATTGAATATCAAACAGAAGGGAAGTACAGAATTGTTGTATGGGTAAATAAATCAACATCCAGGGGAAGAACACAATTCATTTTGGGGAAAAAAATAACAAGGATTGATAGAAAAGAAAATCTCCTCTTTTTTTGCTGTTGTTTACATCTACATATACCTTTGTACAAAGTAATATTAGTGCTTAAAGATGATTTGAGTGAATGTTACTTTCCGTCTTCAGTAACATGACCAAATTGAAACCAACTACATGTACCAACTACCTGCTCCTCCTTCCAATCACATCCATATACTGTCACTATCCCCAAAGGCATTTTCAGGATGTATTCATCAAGTTTATTCCCACGTGACCGGTTGAACCAACTACAGGATGAGTCAAAAAGAAAGTGACCGAATTTGAAAAAAATGTTTAAAATATTTGGCTCGTTCTATCTTAATAAAAAAAAGAAGATAAAGTACATCTAATCAGACTTGTATGACTCGTGACTCGGACTCGAGTCCGACTCGAGTCACATTTTTAATGACTCGGACTGGGACTCGAGTCACTTTGACTTACGACTCGGACTCAGACTCGGGGCTACGGACTCGGACTTGGACTTGAACTGACTTGTGACTCGACGGAAATTACCGCACTGCACACACGCACATACCGGTATATAATTCGATCGTTTTCTTTACTGTGCAATACATGTACAGGGCGCTCGATGTGGTGCGTGCGTGGCCGTGGCCGGTTACCGATATACAATGTACATGTATTGACTTATAGAAATCAATGTACTGAAACTTGTACCCTGCCATCAACACGCAATACTGCATGGTGCAAGATTGATAGGATAAGGTACCAGACTTTTCTTGTCAGACGTCCTGTCGTTCACACGCATATTGCTGTCGCATCGCGATAACGCGATATGAATAGTCTGCTGATCTGCCCGTTTCGGTAACGTTACATGAAGGTCCGTCTACATGAAGGTCCGTCTAGCAATGAAGGTCAGCAAACAGACGATAGCTCCGCAAAACTTCAGCATCACCATCAGAGACATCTGTTACCCTCTACATGTACGTAGTAGCTCAAACATCCACAGACCTCCAATTGCCTTCCTCCTCCAATTTCTTAGACCTCCTCCTCCAATGTCTTCTAAGGATGTGACGTTTCATTTTGTAAATGTTTAGCAAACATTTAAAGAACCATCTCAATGTTGAGCCCTTTCACAAAGACTGACGACTGCCCATTGTGCAGACCAACATGATCGACACAACAAATAATAAATGAGTAACATAATAAAAAGAGGGCTGTCATTGAAAACAATAAAAAGATGAGCACGTAGCCTGAAAGTAATCTAGTACTGCAGTTCTCCTTAGCTTTTAGCAAATTGAATAGGTTTGGATTATTTTTGTTATGCATGCTCAACTCAAAGGAAGATAGCGGAAAATAGGTTCCTGTTTTTAAAATTTGAGTTTTGTTAAAACTTTTGGAAAAATACGATTTAGAATTTTGTTTATTATTTTAAATGTTTAAATGTGTAAATGTCACATCCACAATTTCCTCACTCCACCAATACATAGTTCCCCTTTTGCCTGTGGATTTCAGTTTAATGTTTACACTCAGCCTGCAGAGGACAAAAATACTTTTTGATATCAGATTTTATATATTTATTGAATTTGTTAAAAGCACAAGTAAATTAATGTGCACAGTTTAACTAGCTAAATTAAATTTATGATATACATCTTTTTTCAAAGTGGATTTTTGTTAATTTTCACCTACTGCTTCTAATTGTTTCAGCTTCTTTTCAAAAAATTCAATGTACCCACTGACACCCTATAGTGAACAAAGTTAAACAGTACAACTGCCAATGCATCAACCTTACGCTAGAATCATTCGTGGGTTTATCTCTATCCTAAATGCTGGAGATGTTTATCGTGAACTTCTTCCTGCATGTACACTCCCAGCAAGTTCTTATTAAAAAGGGGCCTATGGGTCATTCTTCAGTATCAAGTGTCTACTTTCATGTCCCGACACTTTAAGGCACTATAAATCGAAAAATATAGAATGAAAATTAGATTTTTGAGCAGTGAAATTAACTTCAACACGACTCCTATTATGTGCAGTGTTAAAAACTCTTTAACATAATGGACAAGATGCTCATTCTTTACAATACTCCCTCAAAACCCCCTCAAAATGCATGTCCCCGTGTATTTCTCAATATGTACCTACTGCCATAATTTGTAAAGTAAACAACTTGAAAAGGTAATTATACCTCCAAAAGCCAAGTACTATAATAATTGTCATTTCCGTCACAAAAGGTGTGACGGATATTACTTTTGCATTCTTTTCACAATCAATATTTCTTTGGGCCCTATTGAAAATAAAGGAACCCAGCATTATTTCCTGTAGAAAACTACTTCACATCACCACTTCAATACAATAGAGACTTAAATAACAGAGAGAGAGATATGTTGCAAGGATGAATGAAGTCCCTGAAAGCCATCAGCCCTGTTTTTGGTACATAATAATTGTCAATTATCAGATTGATCTTCGATCAGGCCAATTAAATATGTTGAACACTTTCAAGTGCTTCAACATGGGGGGGATGCACATATTGTGACGTACGTGAGTAACCACTAGCTTAATTGTCACTTCCTAACATGCTCAAAATCCAAAATGTTTAAATAGGATTATGTGAAAATCTTAGATCTGCGGTTTATGCAACAGGATTGGCACAATTGCGAATCCCACGCTTTGTGAATGCAAATCGCCATGATCGCAACCTTGGTATAGGCCTATGATTCTTTCCCTGCTAAATACTCACGACCGGACCATGAACGTCTTGCAGTTTTTCAGGTTTTTAAGAAAATCGAGTTGACGACGGACACACTGAAACCACCTCACAAGTAGAGATACAACACGTTCCTCGACAACGAATCTGGAGAAAGTTGCATGACCCAACATGGCAACGACATCATAGGGCAAGGGACACACCAACTTTTGCGAGACGGGCATTGTTACATTTTTGTAACACGCAGACAACAAACCACCACGTGTGAATATTATCCATCCATTTTGCACCTGTCAGTATCACAAAACACCACCACCTGTGCGCGCCATCACGTGGGCATACGTCATACCAAGCGCATACCTTGGGATTTTTGTCAATTTTTGTATATATTGGTAACGGTATTGTTCTGCATTGAAAACATCGATTGTCAACAGATCTAATGTTACAGTTGTTATGCTTGCATTAGACTGTTTAATTAGTTGTTAAAATGATTACGTAGACAGTTATGACTCTAAGGCGAAGCTTAATCCGAAATTTCAGAAACGTCACTGTCAAAAAATTTGTTTAGAGGGCGCTGTACCGGCGGCAGATCCAAGAATCAAGATGACGTCCCATGTCACCGATGTTCTGCTCGCAAACACGGGTAAAACTCAGCTGTTTTCCAATAATACTAACCTTTCAGACAAAGGTTCTCTCAAAAAAGTTCCAGAGATTATTGTAGGAAAAATAAAAAACTTAGTGCATTTAATTCCTATGTAGGCCGAGTATTTGAAACGCTTTTTGGTTGGTAAGTATTCGATCTTTATCGTTGCATCGGTTGCGTGATACAACGTATGAGAACGGGTGTCGGTCACTAAGCTTCGCCCGGTAATCCTTACTAGTATTATGACTACTCCAAGAACTATGAGGCTCTCCAGTGAGCCTCATAGACACAGAACCCCGCAAAATTGTTGTCAGCACAAAACACTAATTAAGTACAAAAACGTCCATCCCAACCAAGCTTTTTCCCACAGAACCGCTGCACAGTTTGCCCCTAAACTCCGTACAGTACCTCATGACATACATGTACTCACGTTATGTGCACCCAACAAACATCGGTGGATTCTGTCTGTTTTCGGCAAAAATGATGAAAAATATGCCCTTTCCGCACTGAGCCAACCTAACACTTGAAACGAGCACGCGCCCTGAATGATCGCAGTCATTTTCGGTTCGATCGCTCGGAGCTCGCCGCGGGGGTATGGTGTAGGAGCGGAACGATAGTATGCGCATGCGTACAACTTCAAGTGCAAGTACGTACCCCCCGCGGCGCGCTCCTAGCGATTGAACCCGAAAATGACTGCGATCATTCTGCGCGCGTGCTCGTTTCAAGTGTTAGGTTGGCTCAGTGCAGAAAGGGCATATTTTTCATCATTTTTGCCGAAAACAGACAGAATCCATCGATGTTTGTTGGGTGCACATAACGTGAGTATGTCATGAGGTATTGTACGGAGTGTAGGGGCAAACTGAGCAGCGGTTCTGTGGGAAAAAGCTTGGTTGGGATGGACGTTTTTGTACTTAATTAGTGTTTTGTGCTGACAACAATTTTGCGGGGTTCTGACTCTATGAGTATATTATGACCCTGTTCCTACGTAAGGAGGGAAAGACTCACCAAAACAGTTGACTAAATCATGACACTCAAAATTGACATTCTGATATTTCTTGACCCATCTGAACAATTGGCATTGAATGACCAATGACATACTTAGTCCGAGTAACTTGGACCAAACTTATCGCCTTTTTAACATTCGGACATGGTCTGGTGATAGTAAGGTCCAAGCTAATAGTGCGAGCTGGACAACATCATCCTGTCACTGTCCCAGAAACCAACATTTTCCAACAAAAAAACATCAGATTTCACCCTCAAAACGGCCTCCAAATTACTAGATATGCCACCTGAGGTACAAGTAGACATCAATGATTAAGATGACTGAAGTTTACTTACGATCCGAAAGAAAAGTGAAATTTCCCGTTCAATTCTGAGAGCTCCCCTTGCGATCTTGAACACGTTAAATTTCTGACTCGTGTTAATGTTTGAGCGACGCGATTTTTTCTTCATGCCCAGCGTACATTCGATGGTCCCCGTATCCCGAGTGCGATTCCGATACCGAGCGCGTGCCATGCATTGATTATGATAATTGTCACGTTTGTAAACACAAGTGCATTTCGAACTGTAAAAGGAAATCGGGAACCAGCTTGAACTGGTATCCGCCATAAAAGCTGCGCTAGAGTTCACGACTCCCTATTATCGTTCGAAATGCACATGTGTTTACAAACCTGATCCAGCCTACTCATTATCATAATCGATGCATCGCGCGCGCTCGGTAACGGAATCGCACTCGGGATACGGGGACCATCGAATGTACGCTGGGCATGAAGAAGAAATCGCGTCGTTCAAACATTAACAACACGAGTCAGAAATTTAACGTGTTCAAGATCGCGAGGGGAGCTCTCAGAATTGAACGGGAAATTTCAAAGATATAAATTGTCTCTACAGTGTCTCTCTACAATTGTCTCTACCTTTTCAAATATATAAAAAAAAACCAATAATTATGGACAAAAAACGTACAAAATGAAAAGGAAAAAACATCGTTCGCCTTTGAGTTTGGTTCACACATTTGGACAATTTGCCGGGTTTACCTTAGATCAGCCGTAGTTCCATCGGAAAGGATGATAGATTATTTTCATTTTACATGTGATTTAATGTAAGAGGAAACCTGTAGCTTATAAAAATCGTCATTTTTCGAGTAAACCCATTTTGAAAGCTTCGTGCCCTCTATGATTGTACTTAACTGCATTTCTGGGCCGGGAACCAGTCAGTTGTAAATCGTTTCAGTTAAATGTATACATTTCCAACGCATCGAAAGATTACAAATGGAGCGCCGCAGCACGTGGCGCGTGGCTAGCCATGTTAACGGGCCAAATTCCAGGGTCTGTGTACAGGTACGTGCACACTAACGTTACATTCAACAACAAAAACGTATAACGTGAGACCTTACTTTTCTCATTGAAACGGTTTCCGACTTAAATGATATTTAAACTTTTCGTGGCATTCTTGACCATTTTCAGTGAAGACAAGTTTACAATTACTCGGCAAAACTGCAAAAATTATCCCCTAAACTGTCGCCTGTTTTGAATTTGTGACCCAATACTTTCCTACTACACGACACGGAAAAACAAAAAAAATGCAACAAATACTCTCTGTTTTTTAGCGCTAAGGTTTGCAAAAGTGACTTTGATTGCCTTAAATTCCTGTCTACGTGGAAAGACAAATTTATTTAAGTACTTTGAGCGTGATGTTGACCGATACTTCAGTGGCTCAAACTGCCACTGCAGGCATCCATGTTTGCTGATTATCAGTATTTCATATTTTGAGTGCACATGCGCGCAAACTAAATGAGCGGCTGAAACATACGTGCCTTATTAACCCTTACAAGTCCACTAGCTTATTGATTGGGTTTTTATATCCTAGAGTTTAAAAGTGCTACAGGCAAAACTTCATTCGAAAGTTGGTCCTGCTATTTGGGTTTTGGTGTTTTTTACTCACCCAATATTTTGTAATTCTTTGCCCAGATCTGTTGGAAAAGGAAGACCTTGGGACGCGCATCGGCAAATTATCAACTCACATTGATGAGATCAAGGGTGAAATCTACCACGCCGTACACGAGAAGTATGCCAACTACAGACCCACCAGGGACATTTGTAGTGAATTCGTAGAGAATAGATTTCCACCACGAATGAGCTACAAATCTCCAAGAGTATGTACGAATAGCTACAAATAACACTACGAATTAGTACGGTTGTTCTATGGATGTCCCCGGGTTTCACTGCGCATTGATTTTCATGACGATTCACCACGGACGTTTGGAACAGTTTAAAAGTTCCGTAGCGCCTCCACGAATACCAAAGGAAGATGACGGATAACCACGCAGATATTTAGGATGAATACAGTACTCCCACGGTTATCACAATTCTCAACTGTGGAAAGCTGTAGCTCCAAACAGTGAATGTATGACTGAGGCTTAACGGCTAGACATTGTTATGGTTTGATATGCAATAACCTGCTGCAGTGATAAACCCACACCCACTGACCAACCAATATCACCCACGAACCCGTCGGAACAACGTATAGGCCAATTCCTACTGGTTGTGTAATGTGCGCGCACCTTTGGCCTAATATATGCAGCGCGCATTCAAAAACAATTCACAGTAGTTCCCAAGAAAACTTTCAAATTTCTTCAAGTAACGTAAAAGATGCAGCAAGACGTTTGTGCAACTTCACTGGTCAGCACTTTTGTTATGTGTAGTTTGTGTGGGACTGAAAATGAACAGTAATTGCCTGCGGAAGTAGCGCATGCGCACTTCCCCCATTTTTTTTGGGGGGGGAGAGATTTTATGAGTTGGCCTAGATGTTCCGATGGTGGGGGATATTGGTTGGTTTTGATAGCCACCTCTTGCGACGGCGGGTCATTGCTGTAGCAGGTAATTGCGTATCCGACCATAACATCGTCTAGCCCCTAGACTACATGTAGGTATGTAAGTCTGTGTCTGATGGGACGGGCATTGTTGTCTGTGGCAATGGCTTTTGACTTAATGCACCATTGGTAAAAATCTAGCCTATTCTATGGCCACGCACTGGAGTAAACTCCTTGCTAAGGGCCATACAAATGTGAGCACAAAAATTGGTATAATAGTGGTATTTTTTCATGGAAATATTTCGGCCTGATACTTGGCGTGGGGGTTCTTTTACCCAAGAATCCATTTTTTCCACAAAAACTAGGACTTTTTAATGGTTCCTTCATGTGAAATTGGTCTCTTTATTTGCTGACAGAAGTTGAAGGAATGCACAAAATTTGACAAATACAAATTAAGAGAGCTAAATTAAGAAAACATTTTTACCAAAAGAAACCATTGGAAAGTCCTCAGTTTGGTAAAAAAAAAAAAGGACATTTCACAGACTTTGTGTGTGTGTACAAAAAGCAAAAGGGATTAATGTGTTTAGACGTCACCCGAAGGCAAGTTGTGGCAATTTTGACATCTTAATCTATCAGCCCTGCCTGTGTATAAAACAACCAGTGGGTGTTATCACGTCATCCGACACGAGCTGGTTAAGATGTTACTTTTTATTGTCAAAAGAAGTCAATTTGGTATCTTTCTTTGTTTGTTGGTATGAATTCAGGGAGACATCAGTTCCCAGCTCAACAGCTCCACCAGTGATCTTCATGACCTCACCAGACAGTTGGAGAAAACTAACGCTATCATTGAGGTGCTACAGTCACTATGCAAAGTAATGATCAACCCCGTATGGCAAGACAGGTGATTGTGTTCTTGGGCAAGACACTTTACCGCAGTTGTCTCTCTCCAGGTGTACAAATGGTTACCTGTGAGGGTTGAGACCATATTTGATGCGATCAAGCTAAATGAGTCGTTTGTCAGGAACTTTCATTTGGAGATACAGGCCAAAATAGGGCCACATCATCACATCACTTCATCACCTCTCTTGGTGTTCCGACTTCCATAATTTTTGAACTAAATATGCTACCAGCATGCGGTTTTTCACAGCAGATTGTGCTCTTTTCAAATCTGTAAAAAAAAATCATTTATTTTGCTCTAAATTTAGTTAGGCACCATTTGCAGACGGTGTTGTAAGTTTGTAATTGTGCATCTGGAAGCCAGACAGAGGGAGCGAAGGCCATGTATATCAGACCTGTAAACGCTTTTTAATTAGCGCAATGAGTAAGGGACAAGATTAATGACCAGCCTGCCAGCTCAATGCCAATGCCGCTGTATGGTCTGACGTTACCATTTTCTCTGTTTTTTGTTTGACTGTCCAAATTTCTCAAAGAAAGTTCGTGTCGGTCGAGATTGTAAGTGGTTGCAGAATTCTCAAGCCTTGTGGCCTTACATAGGTCACCTCAAGCTCCATTCTGAAAGACATATTTGAGAGTTTAAGGGTGATCACAGCATCATCTGCAACATCAGCCGACATTTTAAGAAAAAAAAAGTTGGGAGGGAAAAAATTGTGTCGCTGCACCACTTTTGGGGCAAGCTCCATACCAGAAACCGGAGCCTTTCTTTTGGCCTTAGGTTGCAGAAGTCATTTGGAAATGACCAAAATACTCGACTCTAAGGCCCGTTCTAGACGCCGTTCTACTTCGGCATCGAACTTTATTAAAATGATTGCAGCACTAGCTCGTCTACAGCACGGCAGTAACTCTAAATGCCAAACCTAATAGTTGAACCTGAATGAACCTAGAGTAACTGGCCAGGTTAAAGCACTTCAAAGAACATTTAAATTGTTTGTGCCAATTTCACCCAATATGAGCGGACAGGAGAGAGGGTATTGTGAGCGTGTGCATTCCTAAAATGTTTGCCCCAACTTACAGGTCAATTGAGGTCTGCATGGCAATGGCTTGGCGTTTAGAACAGTACCGTGCAGCTGCCACATGGAACGACAACATCGCAGCAGCCCTATTGAGCCAAAAGGATAGTGACGTGCCAAAGTCAATTTGCCGAACCAAATGGTGCTTAACGCCGTGTTATAGCCGGGCCGTATTTAAAGAAGTCAAATTACTTGAGTTCAGCACGGCAATAGCACTGTGTCCAGAACGGGCCTTACTTGACCTAAACCACAACACAATCGCCGTTATAAGCACCACCTTTTTATCTTGTGATTCCATGGTGTAGACTCAATTTAGAGGATGAAATTACGGTCAGACGTAAAAAATCATTATTAACAAGTCAGTTTGTTCATCTTAATTTCATTCACCCTCTTCATGTCAAGAAACCACGCTTTCCTGACAACTAATGATTTGTCTGTCCATTTTGTTTGACAGGTTAACAGTTTACTGACAGACTTTCAGAGCTTCGTCCAGAATAGTGAGTTCCTGCAAGCAGCCGATGCCATCAATGAATTGGTAAGAGACAAATGAAAGTATCTGTCCAATCAATTTAAGATGTGACTTGGTTTCTATTTTCCAAATTAATTTTGTTTGAAAAGGATGCAAAGTTCTTTCCTGTAAGAAGTTTACTTTAAAACTAGACATATGTTTGTGGACAAACATAGGGCTGTTTCGGCATTATGATTTTTTATTATACGTCCCTGACTATGTGCGTGCATGAACATAAAATCTGTCAAAGTTAGCCGAAAATCGGCTAAAACGGTCACTGTGATGTGGACAGGATTTGACCTCGGCAACACGTGCTCTGCAGGCTGACTGACATACGATGTATGTGCGTAACGTACATGTATGTACATGTACACATTTTTAAAGAAAACGCTTTCTTCGTAATATCATACAGTTAAAATAATACAGTTGATGTTTCTGTAAGATAACATTGACTAATGTTGATCTGGAATCTTCAAATTTAGGCACCCAAATAGCACTGTTAGCAGGCGGAGCCGAATGAAGACTGAGTTTTGGAGAATCTCGATAACGGTCAATTCAAAATTGTACATGACGCAGCAAAAAGTTCGCCCATACAATCCTAGTATATTTGATGCACAAAATCGTCGTTGAATTTCAAGCTTTCTCTAAATGAAAGCAATGAATATGAATTATCAACTCATTTAAAATAAAATTAATAAGCAGTTAGCAGTTAATTAAATTATATTATATACTTGGAAATACTCGGGCACTATCCGATTGTCGACAAAACTTCAGAAATATTCGGAAAAAGGAGGAATTCCTCCCGTTTTAGTCACGTGACGTAAATTGTAGTACAATGTATTACCGGAGGCTACCGGACCTAAGATTCATCAGGAATAGTCAGAAAGCTTTTGGTCTGGGAACCAGACTAATATCGAGCCACATTCGGAGCCGCCTCAACCTCCTCCTCATGGGTTTCGAACTCGCAGTTGCATTTTGTCCAAACATTGCCTTGCGCGATATCCATTGAGACGAGGTTGAGACGGCTCCAAATGCGGCTCAATAAGCACAGACCTGTCAACCTTTAGGGTCGAAAAACTGTATTCTGAATCTCCAAAAGTTGTATTTTTAATTACAAAACTGTATTTTTCAAAAATATACATAGACGGGCTATACGAACAAATAAATGTGGCTGCAATGCTCGATTTTTAATACATCTTTAATAATTAAAGTTTTTAAAAAAATGACCAGAGGGTCTCCCTGTGGGTGGTAAACCCAATCAAACAATTTGCATGAATAAGGATATTGATCATATACCTTACTCATAAACAAACTGCTTTAAAAACTATTCAATGCAAGTCTACTTAAACATTAACTAAAGACTAGACTTCCTCATGTTTGAAATAAATAAACCTTTACTGCAGGTGAAACATTCATTTGGCCATGTTCAGGCACCGTGTTAGCTAAAACGGTAAAAGTTAAAACGGTTGCTCGCCACGGGAGGTCCGGCCGTCGTAAAAAATAAAACTACCGAGCGTCCAGACATCGTTTTAAGTATAGCAAGTTCAACTCGAAGCAGTTTATCTTAGTTTCTAAGGTCACGTACAACATCCGCCTCAGCAAAAACCGCGCGATAAAGAGAGCCTTCACTCTTCCATTTTGACAGTTCGCTACACGTGGTTTGAGCCTCTCACCGTGTGATGCGTGTTGCCATGCCGTATTTGACATCGCAGCCCCGGCCGGTCATGTAGCGTGGCACGCGGTAAACATGACGACAGTCACTTGTCCACCATTTTTTAAGTATCGTGTCGGCCTTACACCATTTGTGTTAAAATTTGGGGGCTATTTTCTGTACCTTTCATGGTGCTGAAAGACATAAAAATGTTCTAAAAAGTTGATTGAAAACAAACACGTCATTAAACAGATTTCACTGCACTCATCAACTTGACAACTTGCCCGCACAATATGTCAGTCACGTGAAAATACAGGTGATATTAACGTTGCAATATTGACCAATCAACGCCAAGGTTTTCCTGGTAGTTAAATAGTGTATTATGATAATTACGCTCCGGTTAGCGGTTGTTGTGTTGGCATATATGCATAATGTACATCGTACAGTAGCACCGCGTCGTATGTTGGGCCGTAGCCGGGAGATCGGAAAGGGCTGTGTGCCAGGGTATGGTGTATGAGATGACCCGCGTGTGTACGGACGTACAAACACAACAACGATAATCATAAAAAGACGTGTATTATTTTCGTCGCGACTAGACGTTTGTTGAATGGTAATTGTATGCACAGATCCTCTACACAATATCCGTGATGTATGATTGTCATGACGGGACATGCAGAGGTAAAATACAAACATGACAAAAGGGCAAGCTGGCCAAGTTGGCCGCGACATGTGTATTTTTTGAAGGGGCATTGCGGCCAAGTTGGAAGGGCATGCGGCCATTGGCCGCGGTGGCTGCGGTAAAGATCGAGGCCTGATAGCGATGACTTTTTGGTTATGCACCCAGCAACTTCTTGTTATTTCTTGCCCTGTTTCTTCGTCGGTTCGTTCTGTTACTTCCAGACTCGTAGATTGAGCTAGATAGCCCTATGAACAAGAACAATACAAGCACTATAAAACTAATCCTAGCGCAAGTGCGTTTGTGAGGGGAGATTCCAGAAATACCTAACTTACGCAACAACAGCTTGATTCCATGTGACTTAGTGCGCGTTACATAATAGCCAACATGACATGACAATCTGTCAATAGGCATCGCAATTTGGGCTTCTCAATGCACGCTGCCCAGCAAGGGCTTCCATAAACCACCTTGAACATCTATCCTGTATAACCACACACATTTCCCGGACGAGCCCCCATTTGTCACATTCCCTGGTTTGCTCCTCCCCAAGAAATATAACCCTCAGTAGTCTGGTACACCGTCACACAAAATAAACTGTCGAGTGAATTGACAACTTATTTTGTGTGACAATTTATTTTGTGTGACGGGTGTACCAGACTTCTGAGGGTCATACATGTATTTCTTGGGGAGGGGCAAACCAGGGAATGTGACACTGACAGTTGGTTGCAATCTGTTCTGGGCCTGCACATTACTGATGACACAGGAAGTATTGACAATTCCCTACTTTAAAGTAAAATACGTTTCTATTCTTGATAATATGCTGTGAATGTTTCTTGTTACCAGTAAGGTGTTTTACAGTAATATGCGCCGATCACAAGATGGAATTTTTGCAGATGAAAATCAAATTAGGTTTCGCCCTTCTCCGACGTATATACACTGTTTACTCAGTGTGTTAAGGCGTAGCCTTGGTCAATGCTCTCGTCGTTATTCGTCCCGTATGCAGTCAATCGTCGGCATATATCCTCACGCGATATGCACATGCAAAAATACAGCGCGAACAGCGACCTCATGCGGCCACTATTTTTTTATGCAAATCAGTTGGGGACGATCGAGAGCCTTGGTTCAATTGTCGGCAAAAGCTTATGTTTTTCTTTACTTTGCACTAGATTTCCAGCGCACGACCTCGTATGCGAATACAGATAATGTAGGCGGGGCTAATATGTGGAGTGTCCAATCACACCTTGGTAAATCCGAACGTCATCAAATTATTTGCAGCTATTCCGCCTTTTGCGGACATGACAGGAACCACAGTTTTTGTGCATTGGTGCCGTGTGCAGAGACACACACTGTGTACGTGTATGGATTGTGTACGGTGCCACGTTTCACTATGCAAGTTTCCACGCAACGATCGACCAATAAGAAAACGACATTTAAGGTCAGCTAAGGCTATTAACATAATGAGCACCACCCCCAAAACTTCACATGGACGATTGAACCAAGGCACTAGATCAGGTCCAACTGATTTGCATAAAAAATAGTGGCCGCGTGAGGTCGCTGTTCGCGCTGTATTTTTAATGCACTGCATGCATAGACATACTGTATGACTGCTTGCATAGCGCTAGCAAAGATATCTTTTACTGCGCTATGGCCGGATGAATAACAACTAGCACCTTGACCAAGGCTAGTTAAGGGCCTGTCACATTATATGCGATCTCATAGGAGACCTTACGGCGACCAAAAATATTTCAGAAATTTAACAATCGCAGCGAGGACGCAAGAAAATGACAACTTTCTGTATCAAATAAGCTCAAGCTACGCTCATACTGTGCTCTTCCCATGCTTACGATGCACTCAACTCGCTCTCTATGCGCCCCTGTCAAGCTCAATTACTCGATCTAGTCACTGCCGCTGCGCTGTCACTGTGCTCACACTACGCTCTGCTCGCTGTTGATACATCCTAGTTGCTCGCTTCGCGCTCTCTATTCGACCAAAATACGCTCATGTGACGTCACTTGCGCTGTATAAATACCACGACAAAACGGTCAATACACAGTCCAGTTTCAAAATTATTCTACAAGTTCATCGCACTCGAGTTCCTTTCTCATGGAGACTACATCGACTGTCTTGCGCCTAGGCTGCCTCAATGCCACTTCAATGTCGCACGATTCACGCTCGCACAGCGCCCGAGTTGCGTCATTGCGGTGCCCTGGCCAGAGCACAGAGGTGTTGCGATTGTTTTGGGCATGTTCAAAGACCTTGGCGCTCATCGGAGACCATTAAGACCCTCCGGAGCCCATCTGGCACCCATCTGGCAACCTATGTAGTTGTCGCTGCGATCTAGTAGTGGGCAATTCCACACCAAAGTGGACATGACACCAAAAAATTCAAATACAAGTGACTTAAACAAATTTGGCATCAAATGAAAGCTAAAAGTCTATATTTTCAAGACTTGAAGTCGGAATTTTATTTTTTATACATTTCGGTACCAAAAAATAGGATTATGTAATAATCCTGTTTTAATCCTAAAAATGTGATTAATAGTGATATGAAAGTATTCTACCAATAGACACACAAAAATATTTACTAATGCCATCAGTTTCTGTCATAAGAAAGTATTGGTCTTGAAAAACTGACTAAAACTTGTTTTTAACATTTTGCGTAACTTGTTTCGCTTCAGTGACTTCTAATATTTCAGCCTTC